AAAAAAATTGGCGGAAAAAAGAGTGAATTAATAACTCAATTATTCAAAGCAGCTTTTAACAACCACAGATTCACAGAGGCTCTGTCATCAAACAAATAATTGTAGGAACAGTACAAGGATATTTACCCTGTGATCCTATTTACACTTTATGCGTCATTATCAAACAGACTGCTATCCGATTGGATATACACATTACAAATGGCCATGTAAATGTGACTCTGCAAACGACATATAAATTCATTCTACTGTTTACATTCATGATTTTGCTAATTAATGTTGAAGTAAATAAAAAATAAAATGAATTTGAAAAATGTAATTCATTTTAAATTAAACATTGAATTAAAAATGTAATTAAATTCAATTTAATTTAAATTTTGAGAGCATTTCTGAGGAATTCCTATGGAAATGCACATTGCGTTTACAATTGGCCACATAAATGTGAATCTGCAAATCACATTTAAATTCGTTCTACTATTTTTCCATTCATGATTTTGCTAATGCCAGGCAGCAAATTAAAATTTAATTTATACATTAAATAAAATATTGAATTAAATAAAATAAATTTCATTCATTAAATTACATTAAACCTTGAGAGCATTTCTGAGGAGTCCCTATGAATATGCACATTGCATTTACAATTGGCCACATGCATGTAACTCTGAAAATCAGACAGCAAATTTGTATTTAAATTTGCATTATATTTGCTATATTGCTGGAACCTGGCATTAAACTGCTTTGCTAACTCTTGGTAAACTTTTGGAAATGACCTACAATGTTAGCCTAAAACAATTCTTGCTAATTGGCTATTGGTTAACGAAAACACACATTTGTTGAAAGATCATACACTGATGAATCATTCACAATGACGCATGAACGTGTATCAATAAGGCCCACGGTGATTTCATATTGATTTTGAAATCATTCTCCAAATTTGGCACCTCTCATGAGACAAATACATATTACCGATATGAATCACATTAGTAAGCAAAGTAACTTACGAGATGCAGAATATAATGCCAAGACTGCTGAGGACCAGACACTATTTTGATCTCCTCCATCTCACACCTGCTCATCGACACCACTTTTCACACCAATTCCGATCCACAATCAAATATTTACGATACTGCTTTACAGTCCACAAAACATTTTACATGTCTCCCTTTAAGCAGGCAGCATTAGAAGACTGACAGCTTTAATAATGCCTCAGCGGCCCACGGTGATTTCATATTGATTTTGAAATCATTCTCCAAATTTGGCACCTCTCATGAGACAAATACATATTACCGATATGAATCACATTAGTAAGCAAAGTAACTTACGAGATGCAGAATATAATGCCAAGACTGCTGAGGACCAGACACTATTTTGATCTCCTCCATCTCACACCTGCTCACCGACACCACTTTTCACACCAATTCCGATCCACAATCAAATATTTACGATACTGCTTTACAGTCCACAAAATATTTTACATGTCTCCCTCTAAGCAGGCAGCATTAGAAGACTGACAGCTTTAATAATGCCTCAGCCGTTAATATTACAGCTTATTTCCTCCCTCCAGTCTGTAAAATATGTAATTTTATATCCTACGTGTTATCTGCATGCTGCTGGTTTCACATTCAAACTGAAGGTGAAACGCTACTGAGGCCTTCAATGTCAAATCAGAGTAAGACAAGCAGAGCGAGTGAGCGCATACGGCGATAGAGCAATAGAAAAGCGATGGCAGTCAGATAACATTGTGTGAAAATATCGATAGCTTACAGAGATTTGCGGGCTGTGTTGTGGTTGGCTCGGTCCGAGTCCTCGCTGATGACAGAAGAATGTCACATGAGAGCAGAGAAACTGCAGACTCCAACTTCCCTCCGACATACATGGGGAAAATGTTTTGGCACCAGGACAAATACAGTGATTTTGGAAAAGAAGAAAAACAGAAATCTGTCATGGTCAAAACAGTCAAGGCAAAGGACACAGCAACACTCACGTTGATGATAAAGTTTTTATTCTGAATATACTTGAACATGAATTTTAGACAGTTCCAGGATTACAAACAGTTGGCTTTTTTCCTAATTTCTGCCTTAGATAATTATTTGTACTTTTTAAATGAATTAATATTTTTTTTAAACAAATATACAGACCGTCTGAATCAGGCAAATCAAGAATCACAAAAGTCTTATGCGTAAATCAGTCGATCTCAGTGCTCTGAGGCTCACGGACCGCAGAAAAACAATGCTAAACGCAAATAATAAAATCCTATTGAGCATATAATCTTGCATGGACCTTAAGGTCAATGCCATATTTCATTTTATGTGTAGGAAAACAATGCTGTGAGGGATGAACATACAGTTGGTTGTACTGTTGTATACCTTGGTGTTGATCATTCATCCAAAAAACATAAAAAATACCTTTCAAAAAATAAATAAATAAATAAAATAAATAAAACTAAAATTCATTAAATTTGATTGAAATGAATTACAATTATTAAAAAAATACACTATGCCACATTTAAGAGACTGTACGTCTAAATATAAGCTTTTAAGAGGAAGGAGAAAACGCTTCCTATATATTTTGTAGTTGACGTCATAATACCTTGGCGTAATTTAATTTGTCGTTTTCATAGAAGCTATTTAACCAAATTAGGCCGATGACACAGTAATTTCAAATGGTTCAAAATCCTCAAAACTATGCATGGTGGAAAAAAAAAATACAACCCAGACTACATTAAATGCAGGTTATGTTTGGTATTATTTGGGTCACCACTTAAAATCTGGATCCTGAAGCAAAACCAGATGCGAACCACTGGATGACTGTACAGTTAAGGGGGACTGAAAACAAGCCCACGGATAAGTCCTCCAAAACCCTGACTGAGGCAGACTGACAGCCAGCCGGGAGGCAAGTGGAGGCAGCAGGATCTGACTGACCACTTAAAACACGCTGCACACTATCGGACAGTTCCAGAGATCAAAACCCACACAGACCACGAGACAGAGAACCAAAACGCCAGCTACAAAACCCCTTTTTAAATCCATTTTGCAATATTCTGTTCCTGAGGTGACAGCATCTGAGCTCAGGTCTACAGGAAGTTAAACGAAAGCCTTTCTTCGTCCCAGTTTGTCTGAAGAATTAAGTTGCTAAATCTAATTCAGTACTTTCCAAGGAATAATATGAATTGATCTCATATTTCCCCTAAACATCTGTCTTTTTGATATTCTAGAAAACACTTTCAACCTCTATTACGGTATCCAGTAAACAATTTCTGTCAGAAGCTGGAGACCCTTAATGCTTTCAAATACTGGTCCCAAATCAGTTTTGACATTTAAGGTTAAGGTTAGCTTGGATCGTCAGGATCGGGATACGTCTCGCTTCAGCAGCTGTCGCCCCAAGAAAAAGGCAGTGAATGTTAAGGTGAGCATTTCAGCGAGATTTCGCAAAAAAGGTCCGTTGTCAATAGTGTAGCGATGAATGAAGCACAGCTCACACAAAAGTCCCTTTCAAAGCAAGCAGCCTTTCGTTGGCGAACACGGCAAATTCGCAAAATCTGCATCCGTCCGCATGCGATGCTCAAGATCACACAGATTCCTATTGAAATTAATGGATTTTGTCCGCCTTTAGGCTGTGTCCAGAATGGAATATTAGCATACTACAGTATATACTGAATACTGCGCATATGTTCTGCCTCTTTAAAAATAGTAGATATTATACCACTCTAAACATTCCAAACAGCAGAGTGCTACATTGTGACATCATCACATGGGAAACAGAATGTTTAATTTGTATAAATGTGTACATTTTTGCAGTCAGTTTGCTAAAAAACGAAGGTCAAGTCGGGTGCATTGCATTGTGGGATACAGTATTCCATGCAGTGTGCTGTTGAATACTGCATATTTTAGCAAAAATAGTTGGTCTTCTGGGAATTTTGTATTTGTATATTGAAAATGTGCATACTGCCTATAGTATACATACTGCGAATATAGTAGTAGTATGCTAGTATGCTATTCTGAACAGAGCTGTAATCTGTTACTTTACACACTCCAGCATCTACAGAGGCAAATGCAACATCACACACACAGAAGCCGATCGTAATTCGCCGAGTTAACGGTCTGGAACATGGAGAGGTTTTCAATAATTTCTCATTTTGACACAGCCAATTAACTACGTTTATGGTATTTTTGATCATACACTGATTTAATGCACATCACTTCTAGAATGCTTGTCTGATTACAGCGATGAATCATGGAAAGATTTCGAGAAGAATGGCTTTTCAACGCAAGCCAAATCCACAAAGTCCAATCATGTTGTTTTCAGGTGCATTACCAAAACCGTTTCCTGTGTACAGATGAAATGATGCATGAACTAGCAGTGATGTTGCTCACTAGAATTCACTTTCCACCCCGGATTTGATGTTGTGTGTCTTCATGTCTTTTAATTTCCTGTTTGTCTACGCTTCTAAAATTAGAAACAACACAATGATGGTAATCAGTGCTGACAGAGACCCAAACGACTTTGTACATGTATACACTAAGCCAAAACCAATGCAAATAAGGTTCAGCGGCCATTAATAACTTGCAGAAACCATCTGTTTGCTTTTAATTAATCATAATTCATAATCAATACAATATTGAATATATTAGGTATTGGATAAGCATCAGGCATCCCTCCTTCACTTCAAAATAAAAATAACTTGGTTAACTGAAAAATAACTGAATGCTGAATAACTGAGCATTACTTAATAACTGAATAGAAAACCAAAACAAAACAAATTTGCTTTGCTTTTTCACAGACATAACATGTAACAAGTAATCATTTATAATTGGAGTCACATTCCCCCCAATTTTTTCTCTATAAATTTCACCTACTTTTATTTCATATTTTTATATTTAATTTAAACAAAGTATCAGTAGAAGTAGTGGTAATAATAATAACAAAATGAATAAATAAACTAAAGTAATTAAAATAAAATATATTATTATTATAAACAAATATAAAGCTGAAAAACATTTTAAAAACGCGTTCATTTTATGAGTAGTTCAGAGCTTCCGTAATTATTCTTGTCTCTTCTCAAAGTCTTAATTATTTCATAAATGGCCCAGATTTCACTGAGGCACAAAGATCCAGTCAGGATCTCTTAAAGAGACAGAAGGTTCATTTTGGTCAGATCAGAATGACGATATTTGGCATTTTTCTGCAGAGTGATCAGGGTCAGATTGCACATTGTGATATTCATTCACTTATTTTTATCTGAATCCATTCACATCAAGGCACATTGACAGGAAAGAAAGGCTGACAGAGCTCTGCCTCTGACATTAAAGTGAAAAATGACACAGCAGAGGCACAACCAGGGGCAACATTTCTTATAAAAACTCTTGAGTGTCTCAAAATATCTGTAAACATTAGATCATTTTCTTCCCACCTTTTTGAGTTCTCCAGATGATATTAAAGTGTGGGAAAGAGCAACTATGTCATAAACGCCTTTCACCCTTTAGCATCTGCATATCCACACACATACATTAAATATAGCACATAAAACTCGACATTAAACATACAGCAGAAAACTCTTTGCTCATTTAAAATAACTTAATCTAAAATAAACAGGTAATGCACCAAAAAAGAAAAAAAAACACACACATGCAACAGCGGGGTTTTCTCTTCATATTCACAGCCAGGACGCATACATTTGCGAGCTTTTGTGAATCGGCTGTCATTTAAAAAGCCCTAAATAAGAACCAAAGGGCTGTTTGGCCACACGACCTGCTTGGCATCAAGTGCAAAGTACAGCAAGACCACACACAGGGTAACGTTTGGCAGCAGTGCATGTTTGAAATGCACTATGGGCGGATAAAAATCACCGTGTGATAGCAAATACGGGTACCCGCGGACTAATGGAGGGAGGGATTGTTCACTCGAAACAGCGTTCAGAAATGAAACCAATATTCCCGAGGCACAGAGGTGGAGACCACTGGGAAAAACAAGAGACTTTTGCATTGGGTCACAAGCTCATTTGTCCTTTTTTTTCAGTAATGAGCTGCAGACCACAAACAGGGTTGAATTTTGACCCGACCCGGAGGGGTCCATTAAAGATCTCAGCAGGGCAAACGTGACGAGGCCATAAAAGTCACATATAAACAGTTTGTAATACAGAGGAATAAGCCGTGTAAATATGTTGAAGGCATCACACCGGTAAAGGGCGAAACTTTGGTTGGCAGTGTTGTGACTGGATCTTTTTTTTTGTTTGTTTTAAAGACAGGACGTATCTTCATAGCGAAGTGACGATGAAGTGTCAAGGTCTGCCCACCCCGTCGCTCATGTGGAGAGAGTCTGACCTCACAGGTCAAATGTCAAAGGTCGTTGCTCATATATCATCTCCGACCTACTTTGACCTTAAAGGCTGTGAGTGATCGCGGCTTGGGTTTTGTACTTCCTGGGTCAGAGCCTCTCCCTCCATGTGCTGGGCTGTAGCGTGGGAGTCCGGATGAACGATCAAATGTGCAGCTGGATCTGGTATGTTTTGGCATCGTGAGGGGGTGTGGCATCTCCATGCTGAGGTCACGAGAGGAAGTGTCCTCTTCCAATTAGAAGCCAGAGCAGCGGCAGCTGCAGAATGACCATGGACACGATTGATGGACTCAGACCCGACGCTCCACCGCAATCCTCGTTCTGTTCCTGTTGCCATGCCAACAAGAGAAAGCCAATAAGTCTGCTGGGGAACTAATGGTGTGATCACATAGTGTGGGAATTACCGTAATAATGTGAAGTAAAACTTTATGTCTTTGCAAACTTGTAATAAAGCGCAAAATTAGGATTCCAGAGGGAAAAAATCCCATTGATTTTCTCCATAGACAATAGCCAATGAAAGTTTATTGCAAAATATTAAATACATAGAAATATGTATTGGCTATTATTATCAATGACCATTATTTTTTTTGTTTCTGTTTCCATAATTACCTTATGCATATTTTTTACATAATGTTTTAAATATAGAGATTATATATGTATTATATTTGATTGTGATATTGATCGACTGACTGAAAAAATATTTTGAAAAATATTAAAACATATACAAATACGGTCTCAATATTATAATCAATGACTACAAAGTTTTTATTTACTACATAGTTTTTTTCCATAATTTCCTTTTGCATAATTAAACTCATAGTTTTAAACACACACACACACACACATATATAGCAGCAGAAAATTTATATTTAGCATACTATATATGATTAATTACAGTAATTGTGACATTATGTGAACACATCATAAAACATTTATCCCACTACAATCAATCTAAAAGCTTTATTTTTATTCATTTTTTAAATTTTTTTAAATTAATGATTAAATATGCTGTGATATGCTGTTGATCATTTATTAATTGCAGCTGGTGAATTAGTCAAGCGTGAGAGTTACATCAGCAGTTTAAGAAGCTGTAAGAAGCAACAGCTAAGCTAATTAGTTTGACTCATGCAAAATTAAATGCATGAGAGAAAGACATTAATCTGAATTATACAGAAACAAATAATAATAATAAAAAAAAAATAGAAAAATTAGAGTGGAACATGTAGACATAAAGGACAGAAATGTGCCTGTTGATAGCCTTGTGTACTTGCACAAACTGCCAGTGCGGTTTTAGCAGTTGATTCACTAAAGGAATTCAGGTAATGAAAGAAATTTCCATTGAAAGGTGTGCTTGAAAAGAAAAAAAGACAATTTAAATGGCCAAAGTGCAGAGCTAAATCACTGCAGATAGCGGCTGTTTAAGCAAATTTGCGGAGACCTGAATACGATGAAATACAACAAACAAAAGTGACAAGTGTTTAGTGAATTTACTTCTAATTTGGCAGACAAGACAGATAGATCGATATAAATAAGTAAACCAATAAATAAATAAAATAAATAGAGAGAGAGAGAGGGAGATAGAGAGATGGACTGACCCGAGACAGCACATGAACACTGGCAGCAGTAACATGAGCAGAGAGGAGAGCAGTGGAGAGCTTGCATTTCTCCTACACACGGTCTCATCCTAACATACATTACCCAGCCAAATACACAGCACGAGAGAAAGAGAGAAAGAGAGAGGAAGAGTCATGCAGAAAAATGTTTGACTGTCAGAAGTTTAAGCAACACATGAACAAGTGCTTGAGCCAAAAAGCGTTAATTCTGTAAGTAAAAAATCCAGAGCAGGAAAAGTAGGTGTGTTTAGATAAAGATACACTACTTGGTCAAAAGTATGTGGACACCTGAACATCCCTCTCATATGTACTAGTTGAACATTTAAATTCAAAACCATGGACATAAATAGGAAGCTCAGCTTGTTCAAATTCATTCCAAAAGTGCTGAATGGGGTTCATGTCTTGGTTTTGTGCAGGCCAGTCAAGTTCTTCCATACTAGACTCTTCACATCTTCAAAAATGTGACTGGATAACCATACGCTTGATTTTATGCACCTGTTGTATCTGAAACACCCAAGCCAGTTAAAGGGGTGGTTGATTGCGATTTCACTTTTTTAATGTTAGTTAGTGTGTAATGTTGCTGTTTGATCATAAACAATATCTGCAAAGTTACAAAGCTGAAAGTTCAATGCAAACGGAGATATCGTCTTTTAAAATTCTGGCAGTTTAATGCCTACAAAAACGGCAGGTAAGGGACTACAATGAGTTACTTCCCGGGTCCGTTACGTCAAGAACCCAGAATTTTACATAAACCCCGCCTCCGGGAACACGCAGCAAAGGGGGCGAGGCCATGCTGCGCTGCTTTAGAGAAGAGGAAGAGAAAACTAGAGGTGCACATAAAAATCTATTCATATATGAATCATGATTCTGTCTTCTAACGATTCTAATGGATTCACAAAATTCAAAATCAATGTTTTAAAGCAGCGTTCATCAAGCATTAACACATGTTAGACTGCACCCCATAAACACAATCAAGCCTATAAAAAAACCAGTCAACCACCCCTTTAATTAAAAAAAAGGTGTCCACATTCTTTAGGCCATGAAATGTATGTTTGTGTGAGATTAGAACATGTCAAACAAAGCCACGCTCTCCCAAACCAAGATCTATCACACAGAGACCAATATCAGAGTTTCTTTATGTTGATCATGACTCAATGACTCTCATACTGAGTCTCAGTGTGGTAGATCTCAGGTAATGACTGAAATGAGAGCAGGAAAAAAAAAAAGTGAGATCTAGGCACGATGCACATTAAGTCATGCTGACTGCTAGTTTGGTCTCGATCTGTTGTGGGATTTTGAGGTGTTTGGGTGACTTACACTTGCATTGTTGTCAAAGCACTGTGTCGGACCTTTCCGATAGCGTGGATTCTGGGCTATCTTGCAGGGATCTGGACCTGGAGCTGTGAGACCAAGTTCAGGATACAAATCAGCACAATCTGATATCATGTGAAAACGCAATGAATTTGTAAAATGTGATTTGTATGGAAACATACGATTGCTGGTTTATTTAGTAAAGTACCAAAAATATCAGCATCGCACAATTTTAAAGTCAAAGTAAAACTTTGCAACCTATTTAACCATCATAAGTCACGTATTTCCAAGGAAAATGGGACATTTGATGAGATAAACATGTTGGGTAATGACTTGAGAACTGATCAACCATTTTTCCAGTTCACTGAAATCAGCTGTTCGAACGAACCGATTAGCTAAAATGACAGAGAGAGAGAGAGAGAGAGGGAGAGAGAGAGAGAGAGACAAATGTATAATTTTTGTCATGCCAATAAAGCACTCTTAAATTGAAATTGAAATTGAGAGAGAGAGAGAGAGATTCTTCATTTTTTTGTGTGTGAAATTGTGAGACGCAATGCATTTACTGGAAAAGCTACTTCTAGTTATTTCTGAATTTCCTTCCCAACGCTAGTAATCATCACTAAGTTTCTCAATACCAAACAGTAGGTTTGTTTGTGCATGAATGAAGGATACAAGGCTTTTCTTCCTGGGAGAAACCTTTTTCACTAGTATGGCAATGAATTAGCGGGTCTGCAACAATAAGCACCAGATTTGTCTTCGGAAGCTTTTCAGCTATGAACTGCCTGAAAACAAAAACACAAAAATATGTACATACTAATGGGCACAATTCACCTGTGATAAAGATCACCTTGATCAATAAGAACTGGGTGATGACTAATTAAAATGTAATATAATTACATAAAAAAATTCAATTTAATTTACTTATTGTTACATGATATGCCATCTATATAAAGAGAAAACATAAGTTACAGAATTATATAATTGCATGTTTCATTTTATTTTATTTCATATTTATTTATTGTTACATGATATGCCATTTAAATAAATAAATAATAATAATTTAAATAAGTAAATAAATAGTTATAATTATAATTATAATAATCAATATACGATTTTTTTCAAATAAAGATAACTGCTTTGTTTGTAGGTAAACGTATTTAAAGGTCAGGAGCAATCAATATGTTTTATATTGAAACTTTATCACATTAAACTGACAACCAAAAAAATAAATAAATAATTAATTCCACGATTAAGTTCCATATAAGTCTCACCTGGAGCAGTTCTGACAATCCACAGTCCCCTTAAAAGTTGTCTCATTGTTCCCAAAGAAATACTGTTTCTGCTCTTTGATGCAACTCTCTTTAGATGGTTTTTCAGACAGGTCCTCATCTAGGTCCGCTGTGAACAAAACACAATCGCTATTCAATTGCCATGAGCTACAATACTTTAAGTGCTTATTTGAATTACTGTTGATTCAGTGGCTAAATAACACCCACTGAACGGTCAATCAGTCAATAAAAAAATCAAAATAAAATCAAAATTTCCCAAAGTACACAGAATACAGTCAAAATTAACACCATGCCCCTATCACATTTATAGTCTTTGACATTCTGAAATAGAATATGTGGTCACACTTTGTGGTCGCACATGAATTCGACATTAGCACTCATTAGCACTGTAGTTTTGGCAGTACACCAGACGACAATGAAAACAGGCATCTTGCCAAATTGCAGTGGCTTGATCATCGTTTCAGAGCAATAAATTACTAACGTCGGGATCTTACCTGCCTCAAGGAAATTAGGAAATGTGATGCTGACAAACAACTGCTGCAATATTGACCTGGAGAAATCAGAAGAAATATTGATTTTGATAAGAACAATGTTTTTGTCCGTATAATGGAAGTCTTTGGGTTCCATAACAATCCTATTCACTTGTAAAACACAACAAAACATAAAATGAAGCACTTTAAAATATATATATCACCTCTTGTTTTCTCACAAAAGAAAGGTTTGGAACATGAGGGTTAGTGTGATTTTTGTGTGAACTGGGAAAGTTACATAAGGCATCATTTCAATTCACTTACCAGGCTGCTGCAGAAGCCCACCAACCAATGTTCAGGATGTCAGCTATGGTGGGCTAAAAGGGACAAACAACATGTTTTAAACCTACACAGGGCACTAGGGCCACCTAAAATGTCCTTGTGATGTACCATCCCCATTAAAATCAGCATAAACTCTAAGATGTTGGCACCTTAAACTCTTATTCTCTCAGACATTCTTCTCTAACTTTGCAAGTTGCATATCCGGAGCTGAGAAGCACCAAAACATCCTGATTTTTATTGGCAGGGGGCCCTATTACGACCCTGCCAGACAGAAAGGACCCGGTGCCAAACAATACGGGAGATATTAGACGAAAGCTCAGCAGATGCAAGCTTAAATCCACAAACAAGGCTAAACGAATGAGCTCAGGGGACCATTAGCTGCCACACACACTGCTCTGATTAGCATGAGAGCGAGGAAGTGTCTCTTTGTGATGATTCATGGTTGACTCTCTGTGTTGTGAGAGATTTAGTCAGCATGTAAGACAAGGCCGAAATCGTTCAAGTCACAAAGATCAGAGAGGGTATCGTGAGGATAACTTATCAGTGTGATATGGAACAATAATATGAAGTTCACTAATCGCATGACTAAACTTTATAGTCTGGTGAAAATGTGCTATGTAAGCAAATCCTTATTTACAGGTGATAACTTTGCCAAAACACTTTTCAGATTACACGAAAACCAGTTATTGTGAGGGGTTAAACTGACTTTATTTTTTGTCATAAGAAACTGAAATGAATTCAAAGAAGATGAAACTCACCACGTAGACTGATCTGAGACCAGCGGCAGCTTTAGATTCTGTGGTGGGTTCACAGAGAGCCTGGTAGTTGTAGGTTATGTTGACTGAGAACAGGGATTCATTTATCAGATTTCTCATTAGGGTGGGGTCAATCATACCGAAAAACTGTCCGATCTGAAAACAGACAATTCACAAACATGATTACTTAGAGATAGGGGGCATCATAGACTTTTATTGCTATTATATAGGAATAATTATAATTACTACAGACTAAAAAAAAATAAAAATCACGTAAAAAAAAATCTATTGTCTATTGTCTCAGCTCAAACGGTCACTTTCAAATCAAGCAGCCTTCTATTGGTCAACGTGATGAACTTGTGAAATCCCTGTTGTGAAATCTGTGTGGGGAATTTTTTTTCCCATCATGTAAAATTTCCATTCCTACCGAAATCCTCCCACAAAACTTTGCCGACATCTCCAAATGAACATCCAAAGGATTTGATCAGATTTAGTGTACTTCTGTTTAGTTGTCTGTGAGCCCAGAAAATCTCTGAGGTGTGATACCGACTGCGGGTGTGTGAGGAATTTAAAAAATGCCCCTGTTCTGGTTACTGTTACGAACACACACAGCTTAACTTCCAGCTTTGTATTGCACGTAAGAATGTAAGAGTGTGTGCATCCAAGACTATAAGTCAGTCCAAAGGCGATATAAATCCTAGAGTGTACAGAACGGCCGCCGCTCCCTGTGCAATAACAGCCATAATGAATGTGCGGTTCTAGCCGACCCCTGGAGAGTCTGCCCACACAGAGTGGAGGAGACGGGATTTAGGGCACAATGGGTCCCCCTTGGCTTCAGCCCTGCTGCCAAACACTCCGGCCGTGATTTATCCTGCACACACTCCGCTCTGATTGGTTTTCCTTGCTGAGCCTAACTTTAAACATTTACTCTACTGCTGTTGCCGGCGGGGTGCAGGTGGGGTTGGGTGGGCGCTCTCCAGGGGTCAAAGAAGGGGAATGTGGAATGGAAGCAAAATGGAGAGCTGCTGATTGCGTAGGAAGAGAGGCACACCATAGAGAGTTCCTTATTGGTCATGACAAGGAAGCCTCCATCGTCCAGAAGAAAGCAGTCCAGATTCTTTGAGAGAAAAAGATAAATACAGTTTTAGTGTAATTTAAAGTAAGTTTGTGGTCAGTAAGTTTTTTTTTTTAAAGAAATTAATACTTTTACTCAGCAGGGATGCGTTAAACTGGTCGAAAGTGACAATAAAAGACATTTATATTGTTACAAAGGATTTCTATTTTCAAACAACTTTACATTCATCAAAGAATCCTGAAAAAAGATTTCACGGTTTCCACAAAAATCATAAGCAGCGCAACCATTTTTAACAGTGAAAATAATAAGAAATGTTTCTTGAGCAGCAAATCAGCATTTTAGGCTCATGTGACACTGAAGACTGGAGTAATGATGCTGAAAGTTCAGCTTTTCCATCACAGAGATAAATAACATTTTAAAATATACTAAAATAGAAAACTGTTATTTTGAATGGTATTCCTTTCACAATATTACTATTTTTACTGTATATTTGAGAAAACTAATACCGCCTTGATGGGCATAAGAGACTTCTTTCAAAAAAAAAAAAAAAAATCTTACTGACTCCAAACTTTTAAAGAGTAGTGTATATAATATAGATAATAACATCTCTTTAGATCTAACACAAGTAGTCACATAAATATGATCTTACGACATCGCTCCTCCTGCACCCACAGATTTCACCAACACACTGTGCAGGAAGAGTAAAAATACAGACAAATTCATATTAGAGTTGTACAAAAATATCAAAACTGTATTGGTTAACCAATATAGTTTTGATATTTTTGTGCAACTCTAATATGAATTTGTCTGTAGGCAATATTAGAGATTTAAAAAATGTATGGGTATCAGTGGACAATTGACATACTGACTCATATTGGGTATTTAATTGTTGTGCATGCTCGTTTTTTATATTTAGATCACCTTTGCCATCATCTAATGCTCACTTGAAATTAATCTTTAAAAACATCAACAATAATAACACTATTAAATGTAAATGCAAATCTCAAAATGAATATTAGTTTTTCAAACTGTGCCTTACAATGTTGTGATGCCTAAGTTCACCTGTAGCATTTAGAAAAATGAATTTAGTTTTAGTGTTTATTTTGAATTTTGATTTTGAAAATCGTCCATTTATTGTCTATTCAGTATTAACCATAACATTCATCACTGCATACCTAATTCATACAAATGGCAAACTGACAATATTCTCAACCATCCTTCTAACCTGCACTACAGTTAACATAAATACAGGTAGCTAATTCCTTGCACTCACATTGGGCGTAATCGTAGCGTTGATGAAGCTTTCCATCCAAGTCAGTACATCCAGTTTTACTCCAACCACTGAAACATTCAACCAAAAGTAGTTTAGTTTTAAATTTTGCATCAATTCATAATCACACAATCAAACAAAAATTAATTGTCAAAACAGAAAATCAACTTTGATTACGCTATTGGTAGCTTTCTGAACTGGCCACTTCTGGTAAATGTTGATAATCTCAAAATACTGTTTGATTACTTGACCAGGCTGTTATATTGGTTTATCACTACATGCTTTCTTCTGTCTTTCGGTCCCAGTGATTATCTACAGTACTGTATATTCCCATGGTATCTAATAAAACTATAACGTCAGACTCTTACCTGCTGGCTTCAGCATGAATTCATCAACTCTCAGGTCCATCGCTCTGCTCACCAAAACTGAATCTTGAGTTTCTGATAAAGAGAGGACAGAAAATATCCATTAAATCCAAAAGGAAAAATGGGATATTGCTGTATAATAATCACAAACACATACTTACCATTGTTTGCATTTGGTGCTGAAGTAAATATATAAACATTGTTGTCCAGACTTCTCTTGTAGAAACTAGACTTGTATGTTTCTGCCTGCTCAGTCCATTCTGAACCAGCACTGCAGAACACACACACACACACAGGTTAGTTTTTGTGAATTGTGGGGACATTCCATAGGCGTAATGGTTTTTATACTGTACAAACTGTATGTGCTATTGCCCTACACCAACCCTACACCTAAACCTACCCCTTACAGGGAACTTTCTGCATTTTTACTTTCTCAAAAAAACTCACTCTGTATGATTTATAAGCATTTTGAAAAATGGGGACATGGGGTAATGTCCTCATAAGTCACCTTCTCCTTGTAATACCTATGTCATACCCATGTCATTATACAAATTTGTGTCCTCATATGTCACAAAAACGCACACACACACACACACACACACAAAGCACGATAATTTTTGTCTAAATCCCATAAGCCTGCCTGGTATCTCCTCTCTAAAGCTTAAAAACATAATAGTACCTCGCAGGATAGACTCTAGTGACACCGCCGTCTGTCGCCACAAACTTAGCCTTGATTCTCTCATTCCTGAAAACCACAAATGTAAATAAACCAAATTAGACAGAAAAAAAAACTGCTCTTAAAATAGAAAAAAAAATAGAAGTTCACTGAAAAATTCTATCATCATTTATCATCTATGCTCCTTATGTGATTTTCTTTCTTCTCTGGAACACAAAAGGAGATGCTTAGCAGAATGTGCATGCTGCTCTTTTCCATACAACAAAAGCATACAGTGGCCAAACTCCTATAAGGAAAATATAGCACCTTAAAAGACAATTTTTATGATGCTCTTTTGTCCATTTTGGAACTTGACAGCATATATGCTTTCATTGCATGGAAAAAAGCAGCATACAGGTTTGGACCAACATGAGGAGAGTAAATGACGACAGAAAATAAATTCACTTGGCCTTGTGCATTTTGAATTTATAATTCAGTGCAACTCACAGTCCCTGTTCGCTCCAGTATTTGGCCAGTTCAGCGGTGATGCCAGCGTCCAGCAGCAGTCTGTTTATTAGCTCCATATTACCTGAGGAACCATACATAAAAAATAGGCTTCTATCGACATCTCGCCATCCCTTTACCATCGCTTTGACATGACAAGTATCAAAATGACTCTCACACTACAGGAGCAAAATCTAATGGAAGATCAATAGGCACAGAACAAAGCTTTACGTCATTATAAGCTTCACCTTTGACTTGATAAATGCATAAACACCTGTTGGTCATGAATAAGAACAGGCTTCACATTCTGACCTTTGAGGCAACCGATGCCAAAGTCATAAAGAAGTAGAACTTCATAAAAAGAGAGCGAGACAGCTACGCAAAAATGAGGCGGTGAGACATGTCGGGAAAGTAACACGCAGATTAATTTTCCGAGACGTGGAACACGATTGTATTCTTCGACTGTATGAAACGGCAGTAAGTGTTCAAAGGTTTTTTTTTGTTGGTGCAGGCATGTTCAGAACGTTAGAGTGTTTTATAACATCGCACTGCAGTTCGTTACCACAAAGCCTTTACGACAAAACACACACACACTTCAGAAAGAGCAGCTGGTGTACGACTTTATTCTGCCCCCCTCTGCACGCTGCATGCTTTTCATTAGGACCTGATTGAGAGCAGCGCAAGAACACAATTCAACTGATCCGCCTGTGTTTGACAGCGAGGAAATCGTGGACTTAAAATACCAGGCCTCTGTGACAAATAGCCACAAAAATGAGTGTGCAATGTTTTGCTGGTTACAAAATTTTATTGTCTATGCTCATGAGGAAGTTTTATTCTTTGAGATAAAAACAAAACAAAACAGACAACAACATAACTGAATGAGTCAAAATTATTGTCTGTTGGTTAATGTGAGTGAATTTTTGTTCTGTTGGATATTTGAAATAGAAAAACTTTTGGAAATTAAATTAAATTTAATATTTAAATTAAATGTGTTATTTAATTTAATTTAATAAAATGTTTAATTAAATTTTATTTTACCAATGTATTGGCACATATTTTTTCTCTCTTTTTTTTCCTGTGACATGTCCTGCTTTTCTTCTTTCACACGGGGTAATTGGTGCAGAATTGGGGGGTTGGGGCGGGTTCATAGGTATAAAGTATTACAGCCAAACCTACACATTCAACACATGTGCACCAAACCAAGTGATTACCGCAGCACCAACTGATCCTGATGAGATCAAAGCGGCCCGCGGAGAGGAAGGTGAGGGGAGGGGGGTGTCTGTGTGTGCGGGCAAAGGGAGGAGGCTTACTTAGCATTAACACGGTCAACAAGAGAACAATAAATATAATTAGACTCAAACTGAAATACACAAAACCCCTAATTTAAGGATTGCTTTTGATGTGGACGAGTTGTTTTAAAACACAGTAGAAGTAGTGTAATTGTGAATAGAAGCTTTCGCCTAACTCAAATTGATTGCAATTGATTTAAAAAAGTAGTAAAATGTGAAATGAATAATATTTAAAATACTGTATTAGAAATTATAAAAATGTCCTAAAATATGCAATTGCAATATTTAGTCATTATATTTATAAGACTATGATAAAAACTCTTTATCCACAAATTTTGAAAATGTATTAAAAATGTGTAATGTTATTATTTTAATATGCATTGTATTAATTTTTAGAATACTATTTTAAAGTGCAGCAACTTTGAATCCTGATTAAATTAATCAAAATTAGTTTTATATTAGTATTTAGTTTTGGCATCTTTATCAGGGCTGTGATATTCATACTATGGACTGATGACGTGTTTTTTTTTTTTATGTATATTTCAGAATGTTAGTTAACATTGCTGTGTGAGTTGACATCTTTCTCTCTTCTTACCGATGTATCAATATCAATCTCTGCATTTTACTAAAAGAATAAACTTTTTTTTATTTTAAGCTAAAAGTAGCTATGTTTTAATCAAGATTATGTCCTTATAAACTGCTCACTCCCCCGTGAGCAGTCCTGGAAATGAACTCTGAACCTTAAAACTAGCGGTATGAATCCCTGACCTCAGCTCAGCTCTGGATTTGAACCAGCAGCCCAGAAAGCTCCAGAAGATACTCACACAGCGGGTTGTTGGGGGTCTTTCTGTCTATGTATTCATTGAAGTCGATGAGAAATTGTGTGATGTTGTTACTCTGAGCTTTCAGGTCTGTGCAGTAATCTCTAAACCATGGAAAATGAACATTTCTCAGAATCATTTAGAAGAAATAAAGAAATAAAAGCTCAGAACAACATGAAGGCGAGTAAACGATCACAGTATTTTTGGGTGAACTATCACTTTAAGAAACTGACCTGGGTGCTATTAAAGTATATCCATACTCTTCAAATTTGTCCACCTGCAGGCTTTCAGAAACTGAAAGAAAATATCAGAAATCAGCCAGATCAAAGATCATTTCAAATAAGTTCTGTCATTACAGAGCGGAAAATAATACAATACAGATATATACAGAATAAAAACAGACCCCAAAACTTACAGGTACATTCATAATGACCTGACAATGAAACACAACTCTACAGACAGCGGGCTGCTGCACAACAGCTTGTGAAAATATGTCTCTGAGCTTCTGTCTAGTAATGCGGTCATCTGCAGTGACACCCTGCTGTTTAGGCACACGACCTCACATACGGGTGGCCCAGAGAGAGAAAGTTCAAAATGTTCTTGCACAGAGAAATGTATCTCAAAATATACATGAACAGTGATTTTAAAAGTAGTAGAATAAAATAAAATAATCATCAAATATGAAAAATTCTAAGCAAAGTTGAGATGTAGAGCAAGAAATATTTAAGATTCTGCACTATAATTATATATTTTAAATATAACAATAGTTTATAAATAAATAAATGTCTCTTTCAAATTCATCATATTCTCCAACATACATTCTCCTACATTTATGCATGTGGGTATGTTTGTGAGTATGTTTGTTCTTTCTGAAACCAGATGACGGACTTTAACATGGGAGAGGTCAGACGTTACATCCAGGTTCGAACATGAAGGAAAAGACAAAAGGGAGAGAAAAACAGTACTTGCCAGTTTCTTCTGAAGGGTCAAATGCCGCAAAGAGGGAAAGGAGGGAGCGATTTACCGAGGAAAGGAGGGAAAGAGAGGCAGAGAAACAGGGTAAAACCACAGGGGTCAAAGGTCACCAATATTTTATTCACAGAACAAGCCTTGAATAAAAATATTGCACTCTCATCTAAGGTTTTCTGCTGGTTGTAAATTGAAAGACAAGCAACGTTAATGAATTATGCATTCACATGAGCCAAGAAAGATGACAGATGGAGAAGGGGGAAAAAAAATTCTGGTAAATAATTATAAGTGACTTGAAAAGTGACTTTCTTTAAAATGAACATCACTTGGTTTTGATATTTTATTAATGCAATAACATTCGGCCAAACTATCCAAATACATTTTGAGCCCACTGTATTTTCAACTGATTTACATTAAACTCAATCTCTATGATGGTGTCAGGTTGAAAAAAGACAAAAAAAAGTGGTAAAATACGGTTTAAGGGGTGTAAAATATAGTTTAGCAGATGTGCTGTCACATGGACAAGCCAAGATCTGGTGGCAGACAAGTGATTAGCACAGATTGTTATTGCGGAACAGTAACGTTAGAAGCCTTGAAGTTACACTGTCCTGTTAAAGTTAAAAAGGGACACACACATACCACATATCCGCACCTGGACATGAACACGTGGACCCAACACACATACAGAGCACATGCTTTCTAAAGAGCAAGGCCTGTATTTTGTTAAACCGCCCCTTTACGAGGTTTTGAAAGCATCCAGATGATTCAGAGAGCGAAGGGGCGGAGATAAAAGCACAAAGAGTCACACTCATGTCCTCTGCGGTTTCACCTTCCAAACCTCCTGGAAAACATCCATTAAACATCTCCTGATGCTCTCAGACGTATACACACATTCAGAACGACTCGGCCCCGGTGAGTAAATGTGACACTTCATGACACTCATACCGTTGACAAACACATTAAAGTTGCAAGGAGAGAACACATCTAAACTGCTTTACTCAGCCGGGAAACATTTACACATGCAAAGCAAACATAGAAGAGTCTGTGTTTATGCATTATTTTCTATGGTGGCTGCAATTTGCGTACTGTAAGTGTAGAGCAGGTGCTAGTAGTAGAGATAGGCCGATAAGGAAAAACCTAGTTTAAAACACATGTGCCAAGCTCTTAGAAATGTCTCTTTGTATTCATGTTGGTTTCATATGGTTTTGAAAAACTATAGTATACCATTTTTTAATGGTTTCAAGTTAAAATTTAATGACTCCAAAAATGTCATGCGCTGTAACCATCAAGTAAAAAGTAAAAACATATTTTCCTTACACCCTTAATCTGCGTGTACACTTTATATCAGTATTTTAAATAAATATTTTTAGAATTAAACAAATATCAAGAATTGCTATTCATAAATATCATTACTTGAACTCACCTTACCATTTAAAAAAAAACAAAACATAAAATTATCTGAGAGTTAAAGAGACTTATTTACTTCAACACACTGTTACGAGGGTCTTCGTCGGCCATTACATCATTTCCGATTTATGATTTCCAATTATGAGTCTGCACATGAATCATTACATGACTTTAATTTAGACAAACGTTTTTTTTTTAGATATTTATAATATTTAAACAAAATTGCTCCAATGCTTTATTTCTAAGAAATAATAGTAACAGTAAAAAACTATTCCAAACTATTTAATAAGGTTTTCCTTTCAAGAATTTCTTTCGATATATTATATCAGGAAAATTGTATTAACTTGACATTTTTGACTTAATACCCCCATAAACATTTAAATGTATTTTAATTCAGAAATGTAATTTTAAAAAATTGTGATAGAATATGTGAATTCAAGTCACTGTTTGTGAGTTGCATTTTAATGTATTTTTGAATAAATGAATAGATCCTAAAATGAGTATTCATATTATTATAACATTTGAAAGTGATACTCTGTGACATTTTTGACTTAATACCCCCATAAATATTTAAATGTATTTTAATTCAGAAATGTAATAAAAATATAATTGTCATAGAATATGTGAAATCAAGTCACTGTTTGTGAGTTGCATTTTAATGAATTTTTGAATAAATTAATAGATCCTAAAATGAGTATTCATATTATTATAACATTTGAAAAAGTTACATAAACTGAAGTTCATACTGCCAATAAAATGGTTTAAAATAAGTTTTACTGACAATAAGCAGCTCAGAAAACTTGAATGACTATTCCATCTGAGCTAGGATATCACAAAAAAAACAAAAACAATATCGGCCGATCTCTACTCTCTAGTGAGTATCACTGGACACTACGAGAAGGAAATACAGAAGGAAAATACTTGCCGGAATTTTCTGAGAGTTTCCAAGCTATAGACAGACAGGGAACAGAGGAACGGGAGAGAGATGGAGAGAAAAACAGAGAGAGAGAGAGAGAGAGAGAGAGAGAGAGAGAGAGAGAGAGAGA